TCCACAGATTCGCAACATTCTGAAGCAAGGCATTGAGACACCTGAGGATCAGAATGACCTACGAAAGATGCAGTTGAGGGAGCTGGCCAGACTCAATGGCACACTGAGGGAAGATGACAACAGGTCAGTGTGACAGTGCTGGAGCTCAGCTCAGTGTTGATCATTGGTAATGACTGTATGGGCACCAGAGAAGGGAAGTTTAGGAGATAGTCCATTCTGCTCAGTTTAAGACAGAATGTTCCTGTTTGTCTCTATAGGATCCTTCGTCCTTGGCAGAACTCTGAGCCACGCAGCATCACCAACACCACCCTCTGTACCAAGTGTGGTGGAGCAGGCCATATCTCCTCTGACTGCAAGTACACCAGGTGATGATCAGTTGATCAATATTTAAAATAGAAGCTGAAAGTTGACGTAGTAACTCTTTTTTTGTAACAATGTTTGTTGTTTTGCTTTGTGCAGCTCGTTTGCTGCCCACAGAGCAACAGGTGGCGAGCCTCCGCAGTCGGCCCAGGACAAGGCTCGCATGGACAAAGAGTATCTGTCCCTCATGGCTGAGTTGGGGGAGGCTCCAGTCCCCACATCTGTTGGAGGACACTCCAGCACCCAGGGAGGAGCCCCTCGGTCCTCAGGACCCAACAATAACCAGCCACCACCGGTGAGTTGGCAACACACATGACGCCCTGCTCCTGCTGGTGTAGAACATTGTCTAAAATGACTGATGACTGTTTGTGCAGCAGAACCGGCCTCCTTGGATGAGCTCTGGTCCGACTGAGAACAGGAACTTCCATAGCATGCATGGAGGGCCTGGTGGTCATGGAGGACCCCACAACTTTCCTCCCCCTATGCCCAACATGGGAGGGCCCCCTATGCCCCCCAACCCCAATGGCCTACCTCCCCCCTGGATGCAGCCTCCTCCTCCCCCCATGGGCCAGGGTCCAGGACCTCATGGACACCCCATGGGTAAGTGGGGAAACAAAACATTCACTGTACTCCTCAATGAGGCTTCAGAAAGCAGAACACTGTTGCACGGGTATAGTAAATAACAAATTCAAAAGTGCACGAGAATAAACTGCACCAGACCTTCACAGAGGAAGAAAATGTCTGACTTTTGGTGTCCTTGTAGGTCTGCTGCCACCTCCAATGGGCATGATGCCACCGCCACCTCCTCCCCCCAGCAGCCAGCCGCCTCCTCCCCCTTCTGGACCCCTGCCACCATGGCAACAGCAGGCCCCACCTCCCCCTCCGACCAGCAGCATGGCAACCAGTACGCCGCTGCCCTGGCAACAGAGTAAGACCACACAAAAGCTTTATCCGAAACCGCTAATGTCATTCACTTCTCAGCATACACAGTGTGGCAGATGGTAAAACAATTTAGACACTACTGTGGTAACGTTTTACTTTGAGTCAGCTTCACTCTCCCCATCCTTTGTTTAGTCTGAATGCAGATTTCTTCTCTGCAAAACTGGCATGTGTGGAGAACGGACCATGGTTAAGTTAGTTTTAAAGTGTGTGTGTGTGTGTGTGTGTGTGTGTGTGTGTGTGTGTGTGTGTTGTAGTGTGAATGTTTTGATGAAAAGTAAAGAATTAACCTCCAGCTGCCCCTCCCCCAGATACCACCACCACGTCCAGCCCTGGCACCGGCACCCTGCCTCCATGGCAGCAGCCCCAGCAGCCCACGTCCTCTGGAGCCCAGCCCCCACCGCCCATGGGTACCCCATCCATGGTGCCGCCTCCTCCAGGTGTCCAGCCGCCGTTGCCCCCAGGCGCCCCTCCGCCTCCCCCTCCTCCACCTCCAGGCTCAACCGGCATGATGTATGCCCCGCCACCGCCACCGCCACCCATGGACCCTTCCAACTTTGTCACCATGATGGGGATGGGGGTACCGGGCATGCCCCCCTTCGGCATGCCTCCTGCCCCCCCACCTCCTCCACCCCAGAATTAACCCTGCCACAGAAGAATCGTCCTCCCACAAAGAGTTTCCACCCTGCAGCACATTGTGGATGTGTGCTCAAAGAAAAAATATAACCAGTGCTTTATTTTTTTATTGATCCTTGATATTGTGAAGACATCTCTGAAACAATGAAAGGCCGTGTCAGTTCAATTTGTAAAGTTGCGTAACTTAATTAGTTATTTTTAAAGTTTGTATTAACACAAAGCTCCTTGTGTGCATACAAACACTGTTGCTCCTGGGCACATGTTCTGCATTGCTACCGTAGTTTGTCACGTTACATGTATACCAAATAAACTGCTCAAATAGCCAGCTGGAAGTTTAATTTATGCTCTACAGTCTCATCAATTGAAATGTTCAAACACTTAACTACTATTGGATTTAATATGTTGAAGTTCAACTTGCATGATCCATTGTAAACACCTCACTCACAAATTTATACACCTGTCCTGTTCCATATGTTGGCTTAGAATTGAATAAGATTAATATTTTTGTAAGAAGGAGATGTGAAGTGTTTCTTAGTTCTGTCAGAAAACCTTTTTGTAGTACTGTCTCTGTTCCAGAAATCCCCATGGTTTTGTTTTTTCTTTTGTCAGTTGCCTGAGTCTCAGTTGTGACATTGAGTTTGAAAAGGGGGATTGAATGCTATCTGCTAGCTTTTGACCCTCTAATACTTGAATGCTGAGGATCTGATATCTACTTGTTTTTCTGAATCTCTCTGCTCTGATAAGACTCGGTGTGTGTTTGTGTTGCTTTTTGCAAGGACAAAAATATCAGTTTTGTTCTTAGAGTTAAATTTTTAGTTTGACTCTGTATCTGGAACCAGTCTGTTGTGTTATGATGCTAACCTGAATGAATAGCTGTTGAAATCTTGCTTGGTTTAGCATTAAACTGATTCATTTCACCTTTTTGTCAAGTACAGACTGGTTTCTCCTTTCATGGATGTGAGTCCTTTTGTGTAGGAGTGCTTGCCAATTTTTTTTCCAAGGCCCCTGTGGGCTGTCTCATTTAAATGTGTTACATAACTAGCTTTGCCAAGGGTGTGCTGCTCACAAAGTCTCCATGAAGCGCACACTTGAGAGAAACATGCAGTATATCGCTTGGAGAAAAAAAAAACAACAACTTGAGATTCACGGCATCATTTTTCTTATGGTCATTATAGAAGTGTGTAGGTTTTATATTGAGCGCAGTGATCGATCTAGAATAGAAGCAAACAAACTCCTATTTTATCCATATTAAATCTATATACAGTGGGGAGAACAAGTATTTGATACACTGCTGATTTTGCAGGTTTTCCTACTTACAAAGCATGTAGGTCCGTAATTTTATTGCAGGACATAAGTATTTGATGAATCAGAAAACCAGAACTTAATATTTGGTACAGAAACCTTTGTTTGCAACTACAGAGATCATAGGTTTCCTGTAGTTCTTGACCAGGTTTGCACACAATGCAGCAGGGATTTTGGCCCACTCCTCCATACAGACCTTCTCCAGATCCTTCAAAATTGTGCAGGTCTACAATTTTATCCCTGATGTCCTTACACAGCTCTCTGGTCTCAGCCATTGTGGAGTTGAGGTCTGAGTGTGTGGACAGGTGTCTTTTATACAGGTAACGAGTTCAAACAGGTGCAGTTAATACAGGTAATGAGTGGAGAACAGAGGGCTTTTTAAAGAAGAACAGGTCTGTGAGAGCCGGAATTCTTACCGGTTGGTAGGTGATCAAATACTTATGTCATTCAACAAAAAACAAATTAATTATTTAAAAATCATACAATGTGATTTTCTGGATTTTTGATTTTAGATTCTGTCTCTCACAGTTGAAGTGTACCTATGATAAAAATGACAGACCTCTACATGCTTTGTAAGTAGGAAAACCTGCAAAATCAGCAGTGTGTCAAATACTTGTTCTCCCCACTGTACATAGTTTTTTCATAGTCAAGGCCCAATGGTGATAGTTTTGGCAACAAATGGTGTTGGAACACTGCCATCGTCTGCGCTTATGGCTAAATACTTAAATCAAGCCAGTAGATAAGTGAAGCAACAAATACAACTGGAAATTAAATTTTCTAAGAAACTAAATAAAATATCAAGTAATGGGATTCCCAAAAAAGTGCATTGATTAAAAAAAAATGTAACTCTAGATTTTTCAGAGCTTTCCAGTCCATCCTGTCCTCAGTGAAAAGGACTTGTTGGCTCAGTTATCATGCAGATAGCTCACTTGACTCACCACGTGACCTAATATGGACCTTTGACTAAAAAAACATCTCGGGTATAATGATTTTCATACAGCTTTTGACTGCATAGTATGGTGTTCATCAGCAGATGGAGAAGGAAGTTTTGTGTTAAAATATTTTCCCCATATAGGACGTCATCACTTGACCAAATTTAGATTGATGGTAGCTGAGCAAACTGTACACTAAAGCCGGCAGATGTGTCATTTTGCGTCAAAAGCTACACAGAACTCTGAAAACTACTGTTGTATAGTTCAGTCCTATACAAAATCAGTTGAATGCACGACGCAAATTCCATGGGTGAGAGTGTAGAAAAAAACAATTAAATGGTTTCTGTATGCAAGGCTGCAGAGCTACGGTAAGGTCACCAAATTAAAACCGGAAACATTTTGACTTTAAAATATCAGCGTTTACCGATTTCCCCCGCACATTTGCTAATTGACTAAATTATTTGCAGAAAACAATGCAGGTCTTAGTGCTTGAGGATTTTTAACACAAAGTAAAACAGCTCTAGCTAAAACAACTCGTGGATCTGGTGTTTGTACTGGGAAACCTGTTACAACGAGGCGTGTGACGCACTTGCACATCGTCTGACGGAAATCTGAGTCTTATTTTGAAAGTGTTGACCGGAAACACTTGTTTGCTTCGTTCTATCATGACCGACCCTAAAAGACTTGACATATAAATGGGCTTGACGGTCGCGTCCCACTGGCTGTCTGTGCTCAGAGGACACTGAGAGGCGGAAGAAAGTTTGACAGGCAGGCTGAGGGTGAAATTTAACTTAACCTTCAATAAAAACGGAATAGAAATCATCAGTAAACATGGCCAAGCCGCTCACAGACCAGGACAAGAGGAAGCAGATCTCGGTCCGAGGGCTGGCCGGGGTGGAAAACGTTGCGGACCTGAAAACTAATTTCAACCGGCACCTCCACTTCACCCTGGTGAAAGACCGAAATGTGGCAACCAAACGGGACTACTACTTTGCCTTGGCCAACACAGTCCGGGACTACCTGGTGGGCCGCTGGATCCGGACGCAGCAGCATTACTATGAGAAAGACCCGAAAGTAAGCATCGGGCTTATGCCGCAGTCCTACACGTACACACAGCTGACCGGGGAGCAGTGGGAGGGGACGCAGGGCTCTGCTGCAGCATCACAATCGATGGCCCCGGCGTATTGTTGTGTGCTTGTGCGCGTGCGCGCTCTTTGCTGCCTTGCTGTTACCCATTTATAGAAGTGTTCCGGCAGCTTTGTCCGGACGCAGGGTGTACACTGTAACAGACTGTGTGAGTAGAGTGTGCTGCGAACCATGACGCTTTGTCCGCACTGACATTTCCTCTGTATCCAGACGTGCGTTACATAATCTGCTGCCCTTCCATCTGCAGCTGCCTCACTAACCTTGAATCTACTGTGCGCCACTGATGGCGATGCACGGCCTCGGTGCTTCAAATGTGCTAAATACCGGTATTATCCTGCACTTGAGCTGCGTGGATTTGGGAGACTCGATTGGTTGTTTTAAAATGTATTACGTAACGTTCTCCATCCATCCGCACCACCAAAAACTGGGCTTCACAAAATGGCCACACTGTTGAAATGAATTCCCCTGTAATTAGCTCAGTCAGCACTGGCTGGCAGCAGGAGGCTGAATGGAGAGTTTAGAGGTCCATCAGCTGCATAATAAATAAAGCCAGTGTGTAGCACACAGTCTGCTGCAGCCTACTGTGTAATGGCAGATCTGATGGAGGGTGAGTGTCTGGCTCAACCTTCCCAATTCATCCCACATAAAATTGCTTCTGGTATGTTCAGTAATCTTGCGTTTAACCTCTTCATCTCTGCCGGGGCCCTCTGGTTGGCCCAGGGTCACAACCCAAGCTTGTGGAGTTATTCTTGGTAAAGCTTCAGTGAGCTTTATTTTAATTTCCACTTGACTCCTGTTTAAGTAACAAAAAGTTAGCCTTTTAATTAACCACGTTAAAAGCATTTTTGGAAATGAAAATGAAAAATGAAATTACATATTTGTGAGCGGTTTTTTATTTTGTTTTTTTAAATGTACATCTTCAGTGTGAACCAATCGGCTGAGAAGAGAAGAGAGTATACTGTAAGTCAGAGTACTGAGAGACATACAAACACACTGTTGGGTTTGGTGTTTATAAAATAGAATACACCAGCATTATCATAAGAGAACATCTCCACCAGGACTGGCGGAACTCATACTTAAAGTAAATTAATACTTTACTAACTAATACTTGCACTTGAAGTAATAGCAGACTTGGAATTTGTAGTATTTTGCTCTCTGTCAGCAAACATAAGCTGTGTGACACTGTCTTTTTTTTAATAGTTACATACTGTGTTGGTGTTATTAAAAGCTTAATAATCACACGACACATCAATATACTGTTAGATACATAGAGCTTTCTGTTAAGTACTTAGTGTAAGCTTTGGAAATGCAGCGCACACCCTCCTCTCCTATTCATACTGACCACTGGATGCCTTTTTGTCACTTTAGCACATACTTTCACATGTCTTCATACGGTTTGAAGCGTTATCTCTATTTAAGTGCTCTGTATGTATGTTCATTTTGGAAGTCTCTCTCACACACACAGAGTTGGAGGAAGTATTATCTGTGTTTCTGTGGGCCACTGGTTTGATTCACTTCTCTGTGGAGTGTAAGAGATATTGTTGGAGGTGCTGCCAGTAATAGCCCTACTGTTGTTGCCTCTGACAGCAGCTGTTGTTAGAGAGATCACGTTACAAGGCCATTAGGGACACGAAACAGACCGCGTTTATTATTAGCATCCGCCTGAGAATTTGTAGGGAGTTCTGATGCACTATTCTGTAAAATGTTGTCTTTTTCATCAGGCTGATTGGAACACGTGCTTGGGAGATACACTGTAGTTGTCAAATTTTGTAGGAGGAGAAGCAAAAACAGATTTGGGCAAAATTAATATGGCGGAAAATATATCTCGATGCAAATGGGCGTGACTTTTATGTATAGATTCGTCTGGACCCACAGAATCCAGGGTAAAAAATTAATTTAGAATTTAGTTTCTCTTACAGTTCAAAAGTTACAGGCCAAACCTCAACAATTACGCAGATACTACGTGATGTGTCAGCGATCTGAACATTTTGCTAGGAGAGCCAACATAGCATGGAGGGAGCTAAAAACATGTTGCCTTACACATAAAATAATTATTCCCAATACATCCTATTAAGGAAAAGAGTTTATTCATTTTCACTTGTATTGGATCAGTACTTTGCATCGGCTGATACCCAAAGCCCAGGTATTGTATTGGGACTGAAAGAGTCGGATTGGTGCATCCCTAACTGTAGTAAGTATTGGCAGCTTTATATCATGTGGACATTAAATTCCCATTTGTTTCTCTGTTTTCCTGCAGCGTGTTTACTACCTCTCCCTGGAGTTCTACATGGGCCGGACTCTGCAGAACACCATGGTTAACCTAGCCTTGGAGAACGCTTGCGATGAAGCCACGTACCAGGTGAGGCAAAGGATCATGGGGAATGAAAGCAGGAAACAGGAATGATGGACCTCAACAGACTGTTAGGAAAATTTAGCTACAGGTTTATGTGCAAGTTTTCCTCCATTATCCAGCACCAGTGTTTCCAGCTAGGGGAAGTGGGGAATGACAAGTCAGCACTTGTGTGGACTTGCTGTTGGATGGGTTAAATGCCCACTCCCACTCCAAACTAGCAAATTTCGGACAGTCCTTAATATGGCTAACTTCATGCCACAGAGGTATCATCATTAGATCATCATAAATGACAGCAGCTTTAATCTAACACCATTACCGGTTACCGCTCTGAAATACAGCAGAACCCAATGCTTGTTTCTAGTCCAATAATTAATAAAGAACCCATCTAAAGCAACATGTTACTGGCTGAGATAACATGGATATTAGAGTGTACTCTGCATGGAATATTAGGCCGCCCTGCTCTCTTAATATCTGCATCAGCCATTGAAAACACATCAACCACTACAGCTGAGCAATTTGAATGGGCGCAGTAACTATATCTGTTGAAATATTGTTGTGTAGTAAAAAGTACAATAGTTGCCTCCAAAATGTAGTGGTGTCCCTGTTTAATGACTGTGTATCAGCAATGGCTGCTGGATGCTGGATCAAAAACCCTCGTGCTGTCACAAGACATCACAGGCTCAGTAACACATTCAGAGTTCAGAGCGTCCCTTCTCTTCCCCTCCCTTCAGCTGGGTCTGGACATGGAGGAGTTGCAAGACATCGAGGAAGATGCCGGTCTAGGCAACGGTGGACTGGGTCGTCTGGCTGGTGAGCTCCTGCTTCCTCCTGATTGGCTACCAATAGATAGCGATGTTTAATGCTACGGACAGCCTTCTCAAGCAGCCCCCCCCCCCTCCATATTGTTTCCTCAGCTTGTTTCCTGGACTCCATGGCCTCTCTGGGTCTGGCTGCGTATGGATACGGCATCCGCTACGAGTTTGGCATCTTCAATCAGAAAATAGTCAACGGCTGGCAGGTATGTTCACCTGTTCATCTATATGTACTTGCAGGGTTGGAGTTACGTGGGAGCACAGCTCCCATAAGGAGGGTCTGAGATCCCATGGAAGCAGTAAAATCATGCATCTGTGGGGGTCACTAATTCATTTATCAACAACCTTTATTTTGAATCACAAATAAAGTATTTTTTATTATAATTAGTACTGTTTACATTAAAAAGATAAACAGACTTAATAATTTTCCTGATGAACCACACTGCGCGCCGCATGACTGACAGGATGGCTGCACTTCTCCACCATCAGCCACTGATATCAGGCAGCTTGTGAGAAATAGCCTATTCAAGAAAAAGACCCTGTACGCCAAAGAGTAAAATGTCGGTGTGTACTGGCCCCTTCAAGCACTGAATACAACTGAGTTCATGTTTGCGGTCTCAATCTGTTCCATCAAAACTGTAGCCTACTGCATATCAGGTTCTCTGGGCGCTACGTGACGCTCACCTCTTCCTGTTCTCGCCTACCTGCTAATCTCTGTCGGCGAGACAGATGAGGGAGAAGCTTGTCAATGTCACAGCTTGGATGGGGCAGGACATTTAAATATATATTTATATTATATAATATTTAAAGTTAAATATTGACAGATAGGTGTCATTTACACTGGGGATGCTGGGAACAAATCAGAATGTGCTGTTAGTTAACATCACCTTTTAAAGCTTATGTTAAAATTTTCTGAAAAACAACAAGAAATGTTAAATAACAAATGAAACACTGCACAATAAGAAACTGCAAAGAAACTGAAATATAGAAGAAACAAATGTGCATTGTCCAAAAAGGTAACTTAAGTTAAAACAACAAGCTGCTGATTACTGCATAAAAATCTTTTTATTTTTATTTTTATACCCCACCGCCGGTAACGTGCGTTAGTAGGCTATTTAGAGACCCCCACGAAGCTCAGATTATAACTCGAACCCTGTGTACTTGGCTCTGTGTTATTAAATCTAGGATTTAGTTGAAACATGTTCAAATTAAAGTCTAATGTAGGTAGAATGTTTCATCAGGAAGCCAGTTTCACATTTCTCAACAGAAGAAGAAGTCTTTTGTACTTCTCTGAAAAATGAGTCGACTGTGTCCTTGCAGTGTCAGTGGGTAAACCAAACATGACTCCACAGGAGAGTCATGCAGCCCAGAGCGAGTGAACTTTCCTCCACTCTCTACCCAAAGACTTGAGTCTCAAGCAACGGTTGGCTTTAATTAAGCAGACTGCAGGCTGAACCGCTGACCAGCACCAGCACTTGTTGAAACTGTTGTGTTTTTCACACACACATTGTACGCTGGTACAATGCAGGGCGTCTGGTTGTGGATTCATTACTATATTTCCAGGAGATTATTTCTTATCTCGCCAGTTTAATTCTTCTTAATTCCCCACCTTATTTTAGTGTTTACACACAAACACTGCTTTAATCTGCTCACCTTGTTATTCCCTTCAGACACATATACTGCCCCCCCCCCCCCCCCCCACTCCCCCCCTCACTCCCCCCCTCACTCCCCCCCTCACTGTATCAGTCTACTCTGCTGACTTTATTCCTCAGCAGGATTTTTTATAAAGTCGCCGCATGTGGATGAGGTCACCAAATGTACGTTGGCAACACGGCTAATTTCATCACAGTGAAGAACTCCCACACCCACTGTTTTAAAACGACTGTGTGTGCCGCTGTGTGCCTGACATGAACACTCATGCAGCGCAGCATGCCTGTAAATCTGACACAGGATCAGATATGAGAGACTGATCGGCCACGCTCGCCAGTCATGGTCAATCAAGCTGAAAACAGACTGATTTAGGTCACCAGCTGGTCGATCGGTGCATTTCATGAATGTGGCCTTGTAGTGTCTCACTGCTGTTAGTTAACATTGTGGATTAAACAAACAAATACTTTAAAGTTTAGAACAGTTGAATGTACCATGGCAGACGTGTGCTGTATGTTGTATAGCGCAACATATAAGTACCACGGCGGTATGTTTCCACAGGTGGAGGAAGCTGACGACTGGCTGCGTTACGGGAACCCCTGGGAGAAGGCTCGCCCTGAGTACATGCGCCCAGTCCACTTCTACGGACGAGTGGAACACACAGCTGAAGGAGTGAAGTGGGTCGACACACAGGTCAGTAGGAATGGACACAACTCTGACCTTTTTATTAAAAACAATGTAGGGGTTCAGTCAGGGCCATTCACCTCTCATATGATGCTGTCTGGTTGCATATTTACTGTAGGAGTCTGTGCACATTTTGGTATGTCACGTGGATGTGGGTGGTGATTTCTGTAGAGTTAATTTAAGCACCTGTTCAACTCCAGCAGGGGATAGAGGGTGAGTGAATGGGACGCTGTATTTTTTTGTTGAGTGTTTTTTATAGTTTTCATCGCTGTGATTATTTTGAATATACGTTTTGCACATTATGTTTAGTTGCATATTTTCATCAGTAAAAGTTACAGACTATATTTTTGAGATCTGCAAATTATTTGTGCAGCGAGTCAGACAAACAGCACCACAAGGCCCTACCTCAGCCTCTCAGCCACTATTTTTTATTTTTTGTATAAATAGGACTGTGACCAAGAACAGTGACCAAGATATATGTAGACATGTTTACAGTGTGAAACTAAAGTGCAAAAGCTGCTGTCAGCCTAATCTCAAAGATGACGCGTCATAAACACACCACACAGAGAGCAATGGAATAATAACAGGTGGATTGTAATTATTTGTTTTGTTTTGATCCAGGTGGTTCTGGCTCTTCCCTATGACACCCCAGTCCCCGGCTACAGAAACAACATTGTCAACACCATGAGACTGTGGTCTGCTAAGGCCCCCTGTGACTTTAACCTCAAAGACTGTACGTACTGCCGTATGGACGGTTAAATCTTCATCATTCACGCACTGCCAATAAATCATCTGCCACTGAACACAAACCTAACAATGTTGTTCAGTCGTTCAACGTGAATAACTGCTGTTGTCCCACAGTTAATGTTGGTGGCTACATTCAAGCTGTGCTGGACAGAAACCTGGCTGAGAACATCTCCAGAGTTCTCTACCCCAATGACAATGTGAGTAGATTTACTGTTGAAAATCAACTGCTGTCTACATTTCACTCACAGGGGCATTCCAGTTAATTCCAAACACGGCTCTTCTTTCTATAGTTTTGGCTGACAATGCATCAGTTATGATAAAATGGTGCTCACCACATTAAGGGAACATGATGACATCACTACAGCTGGACAAGAAATTTGAGCAGTCAGATGATCAAACAAGTTGAAAGTTAATCCAGATTATCTATGCCACTGTATTTAGAGGTCAAACGGAAATGGAGCTAATAATCCTTCATGGGACAGGAAAACTGTTGCTCTAGGGGCTGAAAAAATCTCATTGGTTCACGAGTAGCTAGCAGTGGGTGGAACAAGGTAACAGACAGATCTTCATCTCAGTCAAACATGCCAACCAAAAAAAGTAAAAGTGTTGGATAGCATTACCCAGTTACCTGTTTTCAGGAGGCATCAGTCTTTAGAAATCTGTGATTTGGCTATGTGAGGAATTTCACTCTACCAATAAGACCATTTCTTCAGAGCAAGTGGTTCTAGAAAAAAAAATTGCAAATGTGCAGCAGTTTTGTCAGCACAAAAATGTGATGATGGCACCAACAATTGTCCATGTGATCTTTGTTGTGCAGTTCTTTGAAGGGAAGGAGCTGCGCCTGAAGCAGGAGTACTTTGTTGTAGCAGCAACTCTTCAAGACATCATCCGTCGATTCAAAGCCTCCAAGTTTGGCTCCACAGAGTTTGTGCGACTGGACCTTGCTACACTGCCAGACAAGGTGAGAAATCCATCATATCATATCAAAATTATGATATGGTATATGTTATAAATGGCAGTAGATCAAATATTTGATTTTATTTTGAGTTAAATAATTTGTATTATTTTCATTTGTTGTTACCTTTTGAGATATAACCAACAGATTTTGAGCTAAATTTCAGATTATCCTGAAGGTTTTCATGTTAATTGCCAAACACACATTGCACTGAAGTATTGCAACTTGAATGCAGAGACATGTGCTCTACTGAGTTTTCTCTGTCTGTCTGGTGTCTGCAGGTGGCCATCCAGCTCAATGACACCCACCCTGCGATGGCCATCCCTGAGCTGATGAGGATCCTGGTGGACATGGAGAAACTCACTTGGGAAAAGGTACATGGCATTTCAGCAGTGCAGTATGCTTATGGCAAAGACTCAGTCAGATCCTCTGAGATTGTCAGAAACGCTCTTTCCAGCAGTAGAAATCAGAGGGGCCTTCCTGAAACTCAGAATCCAGCAGTCCCATTCACTTGACCCAGCGACTGTCCCGGTGTGTGGAGGTCTAAAAGGCAGGCTTTGAACTGCTCTCTCAAGCTCCTTTTTTTTGACTCCACACTCTGGTTGCGTTGGACTCACTGTGCAAAAACTGTTACTACCACAGTTAAACTGAAATCTCCTGTGGTCACTTGTGTAGCAATCCTGTCTCTCTGCATCCTTCAACAGTGCAGTAACAATGACACAGCAGCACGCCGACCACAGCAGAATGACAAATCAGTCAAAGCTGAAGTCATACACTGTGACAGCATATAAGCTGTAGACAAACTAATCAGTCAACAAGTCTTTCATGAGGCAGCACTGTCATTTTCGACACAACCTAAACTGTTTACTGAATTTATGTAAAAGGTTATTTTAATTTTATTTTAATATAGGTTTAATGTATGTATGTTTCGTATGCTACTGAATACTTAAATTTCCCTCAGGATAAATAAAGTATATATCAGTCTATCTATCTATCTAAGGTAGTGCATTTGACAAGCGAGAGACAAGCGAGTATGTGTAATGATGTCAGATGTTTCCTGTCCTCTCTCTGTCCAGGCCTGGGACATCGTGGTTCGTACCTGTGCCTACACAAACCACACCGTCCTGCCTGAAGCCCTGGAGCGCTGGCCAGTGGACCTCTTCCATAACCTGCTGCCTCGGCACCTGGAGATCATCTATGAGATCAACAGGAGGCACCTTGAGGTGCGAGGGGAGACCTTTCTAAATGAAACCCTTATCTGTACAAACTTCATTGAGTGCTCTGATTTTGAGAAAGAATCTTGTTTGCCATCTTACCCATATGAAGATCTAACAATTTAATGTCTGTGCACTCTGTGCGAGAGTTCTTAACTACTCAAAGACGTAAGTATGGGCTTGGCCAAGGTCTTAATGACCTGACCCCAGGGAATAAGTTCTGCCAAATTTGAGACCTCAATCTGACCCGAGAACCGAACCCATATTTTTGCTTTATTTCAACCATTATTGACTGTTAGCTTGCCAGGCTAATGCATCGGCTACAAAAGTTATTTTTTGTTTTTTATTTATTTATTGTTTTTTTAGTTCACTAAATCAGTTTGAGACTTCAGACATTCAAGTCTCAAGTAAGTTGGGTCTTATAGCAGACGAGTCACAAGTCCTCATCTTTGCATCTTGAGTCCAAGACCTCAAGTCTACAGCTGTGCTTCTTCTGAGATGTCTCTTCCCCCCTGCAGCGCATCAGCCAGCTTTACCCTGGAGATGTTGACCGCATGCGCCGAATGTCCCTGATCGAGGAAGGGGATGTCAAGAAAATCAACATGGCTCACCTGTGCATTGTGGGATCTCATGCTGTCAACGGAGTGGCCCGTATCCACTCTGACATCATCAAGAACACTGTGTAGGGAACACTCACTCACTTGTGTGTGCTAGTTTAACGTTAATGTAAAGAAGCCTCTGGCCTTATTTATATTTTTCTCGCACCAGTAATCTCAAACTGTCAGTTCTTTCAGAACAAAGGAACCCAGCGATGTTTTCATGAGCCTAAAACTTGAAGAATGTTGACATTAAAACATCACTAATATCACTCATTGGTTTCTAATTGTTGCTCCTCTACTTCTCAGGTTCAAGGATTTCTACGAAGTCGACCCTCAGAAGTTTCAGAACAAGACCAACGGCATCACACCCAGGCGCTGGCTGGTCATGTGCAACCCTGGCCTGGCTGAGGTCATCGCAGAGGTGCGTTTGTTTTTGTCCATGTAGACTGAATATAGAGGTGAGAAGTGATAACCCTTATTTCAGGCATCCACGTTCCTGGAGGTAAAAGTCCTGTTCCTTTTCTGAGGTACAGGTACACAACATGTAAATAAAATCATAAGGAGGGAAGTCAGCTACAACTCTCAAGGAGTCTTTCTGTAAGAGACATCCAATCACAGAGCTGAAAATAATGTGACTAACGTTACAGCAGACACCACATCCTGCTGCAGGCTCATGTGACCATAACCTTACTTCACTGATACTGACATTGATCAAATACACCGTTCCGCGGTGCACCACACTTGACTAGGGATTGGTGCATGAAATAAACTTGATCTCAATAGGAGCCTGAGTTTCCTGAGTCAGTGTACTACACCGTTTTCAACAAATCCAAATTTTCCTTCTCAAACAATGTTTGCAGTTACATTCTAAGAATATTTCTGTCATTACTAATAACATGATCACTAATATTTGTTTGAAGAAATATGATGTTTGGTACTTATTGTAGTTTTGTTTGTGCATATTTTTAGCTGCCATTCTGTGATATTATTATCTCATGTGAAAAAAGCCAGCTCAGCAATAAGTATTAATGCATCCACATGCTAGCTGGGCTGAGAATAGCATGCTATCTGTCTGCAAGTATGGAGGCTTAGAGACTGGGACATCAACTGCAGGAGCTTAGTTGGCGTCTGCTGTACCAAACAGAGAAAATTTATTCAGAAACTATGCTGTAATAATTGAAATTGATGTCCAAAACAAAACCTATATATTAGAGGACGACTGATAAATCGCTATGCTGATTATCGACCGATATGAGCTAATTGCAGATAAATCAGTATCTGTGTTCATAACGGCCGATAAATGACGGAAGAAACATCCCTCATCAAGTGTTGTCATTGCATAGTTTGTCCACCAGGGGGCGTTCTGCTACTCCCCTGTTCACAACACACGTTTGGAATTTACAAATCCACCATAAAACACAACAAATCAGCTGTACTATTTCTAACATTAAAGTTTTATTTTTATGTCATGTTAGAGATAATCTTTGTTTATGGTACGTGTTTCTGAAAAGAAGGGGAAAATATCAGCCCACATGTCTGAGTATCGGATTTAAAATCCTCAAAAAGCTAAATCAGTATCAGTCTTTCTCAATCATCACAGTTGAGGAGACAAATCACTTTCAGAACCACTAACTACCCCCTTTCACCAAGTGTACTGCTGCCTGATCTTAAAGACACATGTGCCAGGATGCTTTGACATAATTAGATGATTTACTGTGCAGACCCATGTCCACTGTCATCTGCCAAATAATAAGATTCTCATGTGATAATCTTGTTATTCAGAGGATTGGTGAGGACTACATCCGCGACCTGGACCAGCTGAAGAAGCTCTTGGACTTTGTGGACGATGACGCCTTCATTCGGGATGTTGCCAAAGTCAAACAAGTGAGAAAATGCCTGCAGGAAGGTGGTTGTTTTCCTGTCTTTTTCTGTTTCTAATCACATTCTTCGGCGTGGCTTCAACCTTTAGGAGAACAAGATGAAGTTTGCTGCCTATCTTGAAGAGCAATACAAGGTGAAGATCAACCCCAACTCCATGTTTGATGTCCACGTGAAGAGGATCCACGAGTACAAAAGACAGCTGCTCAACTGCCTGCACATCATCACACTGTACAACCGTAAGTGTTTCATCTTTTACTGGCGGCTTTTTAGAGAATAAATATGGAGTCAAAGTACACGAAAACCTTTTTGTTTTTAATCAGGAATCAAGAAGGAACCGAACAAGTCATGGACTCCGAGAACCATCATGATTGGAGGAAAGGTGAGTGGCACTGAAAGTGTTACAGTACATTTGTTTTTCTGTGAACAGACAAAATATGCTCGTCTTACCCAGAGTCTGATGAAAAGATAAATATTAGTTTAATCTACCATACCATAGATAATGGAAGACTGCAAGCAGGAGGGAGGCTGCTAGGCTAGCGCTGAAAACATGCCGTTCAACATTTTACAATATTGTTTTATTGAAAGAGTTATGCAAAAAGAGCAATTTCTCAAATATTTTTTCTCTCCTCTCTCATCCCCTGGCCCAAGTACACCTTCCTGCCCACAACAATTTCACACAAAACATATAAATTACACATATTTATATCAGATACTTTAACATTTCTGTCCTGATCTAGACATAAATGTTCCAACTAAAGTAAATAAGCAATGACGAACTGTCTGAAAAAGAAAACACTTATAAGAACACGGCGCTCATATTGGCTTTGTAGTGTAACACAGAGCCATCAGCCTGAGATAATCCCCAGAAAGGATCATTTTATTTAGTCACATGTACCCTTTGTGTAATGTCAGTCTTAAAACAGGCTCAGAAAGTCATAATGCATATTCGTTTAATTTAACTTTCCTTATTAATGGTTATTGTACCAATAACAATAAGAAATCTATGTCAAAATGTCAGACTCTGAATTTCATGTCATAAATGTAGTCTCTTTGGACTGATTATTATGGGCTTTTGATTGGCAGTGCTGATGCAGATTCAGTATTTAACTTCTCCTCAGAAAAAAGTTTAACTTTGATCTGCCAAATGCGCTCAGACAGAAGCTGCCCATAGCTCCTGTTTGTTCTCGTGAGAGTTTATCCTATTTAAAATGTTAACTTTACAGCAGGAGATTATTCTACACAGAGAACAGTTTTCTCCGCACACATCCTGGAGACATGAATTATACGTGGGCATTTCTCTACATGGTCCTCTGTGTTTCCAGGCAGCTCCAGGTTATCACACTGCCAAGATGATCATCAAGCTGATCACATCGATCGGAGACATTGTCAATAACGATCCTGTGGTGGGAGATCGCCTCAAAGTCCTCTTCCTGGAGAACTATAAGGTCACTCTGGCTGAAAAGGGTAACGGATACTAGTCATTTATAATCTCATTCCTAAATTCATTTATGTTGTATGTATGATTTTCAGGCTGCTCTATCTTTCAAACATTTAGGGCTTCAGCACTGCCTGGTGCTTTAATGCTGTTTGATGATTGGGTACTACTTACAGTATGTCTGTAGAACATTTGTCAAGTACCAAAAGCTGTCTTGTCTTGTCTGGCTGCGTGGGTTGAGACAGCATTTAGCATTTGGAGATGTTTCATATGTTTTAAAACCATATTCAGAGCTTAGTTTACAGTCTGCACCAGAGGCCCTGTACTCATGTATGTAGTGGAACATGGACAGAGAGGAGAAACCATAATCCTGGACCTGTCCCCCGTCTGCAGTGATCCCTGCAGCTGACCTGTCGGAGCAGATCTCCACAGCAGGTACGGAGGCCTCTGGCACTGGGAATATGAAATTCATGCTGAACGGAGCCCTCACCATTGGCACCATGGACGGAGCCAACGTGGAAATGGCTGAGGAAGCTGGAGAGGAGAACCTCTTCATCTTCGGCATGAGGGTGGAAGATGTGGAGGCTTTGGACAAGAAAGGGTGAGACTAATGACGAAAACATAACAGTGAGTCTTTTTTACCACAGAAAGGCTCTTGCATCACGTTCATGTCTCAACTTTGGCGGCATCAGTTGGGTTGTGTCAGGTCAGGTCTCAGACGCAGGTATGGGCAGGATTCACTCTGTAGTGAACGCTGAGAAGAAACCCACCCATTTCTTTAGATGACTTACAAAATCATTTCCCAAAATGTTGTTTTCTACCGTTTTCGATGACGAAATGATTAAATCTGGACTGGACCAGATTAAGGTAGGGCTGGGCGGTATATGTTTCATCATTTTTCCAGCAAGTCGCGACACGGTGAAAAGCGACAGTGAACACACCAGTAGAGATGTCATTCATTAGCTCATGGAGAAAGTTAGCGTAGCAGACATACAGAGAGCGAGACAGAAAGAAGCAGGGCTGTGTTTGAGACAGAGGTACGTTAGATGTGAGTGTGAAGAGAACTGAAGAAGGCAGATTCAACAACAAGTGAGTGACATTCAAATGAGGTGGAGAATTAAGTACAATAAAACTGTGAAATAAGAAACAAGCTACTACAAATAGTAAAATCATGTATATTTTATATCAGTATTCTGCCTAAAAGTAGTTGGATATGACTTGAGGTCCAGCCCTGGATTAAGTGTAACATTCTCCCATGTTGTTTGTTGTTTTTTGTCCTCAGCTATGATGCTGTGTCGTACTACAACCGTATTCCTGAGCTGAAGCAGGCAATGGACCAGATATCTGGAGGCGCCTTCAGCCCCAGCCAGCCCGGCCTCTTCAAAGACCTCGTCAACATGCTGATGCACCACGACAGGTTAGAGCACACTAATGCTGACACTGATGAATCAGCAGTTTGTCTGTGCTGACACGTAGCCCACCTTTATGTCCTCAGGCATGCAGCGTCATCAGTGCATCACTGTCAGATGAGTGTAGATAAGGCTACATGTGAAGAATGATAGAAAAAAACTATGTGGCAGTTATGTGCATTGCTCCGGATTTGGGTTGTGCAAACTTTACAGGGGGAGAGGATTTGTATTTATATAAATGTGTAAAAATATAGAAGAATAATAATGAATATGTGCAATATGGCAGTTTGTGCAGTGATAAGCAAAATAGTTATATTAGATTTACATGTGCAAAAATATTTACAGTATGTATTGTAAAGGGGGTGGAGGGTGGGTGGGAAGTGTCAGTGGGGGTCCGGGGCCTTGTTAATGAGGGTCCGGGGCCTTGTTAATGAGGCCAGCTGCAGATGGGAAGATGCTGTTGTTGTGGCGGGAGGTTTTGTCCCCGCTGGAGGGAAGCGACTGAAACAGTCTGTGCCCAGGGCAGGAGGTGTACGGGTCCTGAAGGGATAGAAGATTGCAGCCCATCACCTTCTCTGCAGAGCGGGTGATAAGCTGCCTTTGTCCCTGGCGGGGGCAGCTCACCTAAATTCGGACTGGTGGCACTCGGTAAAGGCAGAGGCCTTAAATAACTGATTTACTTGGATCATGTTAATGTAGTCTTGATTTATATAAGAATGCTCATCTAACCCATTTTAACTGTATGTCTGTGCTGCAGGTTCAAGGTATTTGCAGACTATGAAGATTACATCAAATGTCAAGAGAAAGTCAGCGCGCTGTACAAGGTCAGTGTGTCAGCAAGAGGAAATCGCAAGTCATTGGACAAGCAGTCTAATACAACATGAATCTCTGATACTGCAAATTATTTTTGTTTATTATGTTTTTGTGGTCATAACTGCAGCCTGTCTGTGCTTACAATAAGTGACATTTTTCTTTTCTGCTTTACTTCCATATGATGTATTAAGTGTGCTGTGCTACAGCATATTGTACTTTTCCATCTTATTCTATGTTCTATACGATATGATACTGTACCACTTTATATACCACTGTTTATTATACTACTATAGCACGTGGCATATCACTCTACTGTACTGTATCATAAAGTAATATGTGCCCCTATGTAGGCCCTTCGAAGCCTAAATGCAGGAACAACATATTTGGTCAAATCTGAGTTAAAACCAGAATGACAGGTTTTACAGTAAAAAATTATGCCATAGAAATGCATCATTTCTATTGACACAATTTACAACTCCTCCTCTCCATGTGTATTAACAGAACCCTAAAGAGTGGACCAAGATGGTGATCCATAACATCGCTGGTTGTGGTAAATTCTCCAGCGACCGCACCATTTCCCAGTATGCCAGGGAGATCTGGGGCATGGAGCCCAGTTTGGAGAAGATCGCTGCTCCTGATGATCCCCGCTAAACCACATCTGCCTCTTCCACCTCCACTGTAGCTCACCATGTGGTCCAACCACTAGGAAATAAACCTGTAGCTTTTTCACTGTGTTCTCAGCCTCTATAACGTGCAGTAACATGTATTGAAGTGGGCTTATTTACAAACTATTTTTTATTTTTTCTCCTCTGTGCACCAGCAATGCATATTCTCACTGAAAACCTTGTATCCAACAGCCTTTCAGCAGCTAAACAGCCTTGATTTCACCTTGGAATCATGGGATTATTCAGTTAGAGTGAAAACATTAAAGATATACATCTCTATTTTGTTTATTTTCACCTGTGTTCAAAACATCAACTGGGAGCTGAGTCCAAGAAAGTGAGCACGGTAACAAAATATTACTTGATCTTTTACTTGTACTTCCCTGCTACAGGTTTCACACAACAGTGATTCGAACCACAGTTCTAACTTCATTCCTGTTCTACTTCCAAGTCAGTATGGCTACCAAAACCCAGCAAATATGCCAGTAAATATGCCAGTAAACCTCAGCACTGTTATGCTCCCAATCCAACCCATGTCTTCCATGGAAGAGAGAAGGGACACAGCCTCATAGCAGCACTGGGACTGGGTGGGGTTGGATAGAAGCCATGTCTCCATGTTCACCCCAGATTAACCTTCATATTAATATTTAATTTGGCTGCTCTGTCAGTGTTGTGATGTTTGCTGAATATATCCATTTGTGTGTGTGTGTGTGTGTGTGTGTGTGTGTGCAATGCAGATGTACGGACCCATCAGTTTACCCGTGGATTCTTCAGCATGTTTGTCTGTTCCTTAAAGTCACCTGTGTTAGAAAATAAAATAGCCTTCTTTGCCTGAAACCTAAGTGACAGAATGTATTTTCGGAAGATGTGTGTATTTCTGTGGTGTAGTTGTGTTCGTACGGCATTTCAGTCCATGACACTGTGGATATCCGCTCCATTGATGTACTGTAATAACATACTGTCCTGCTTCAGCTACTGCATACTACTCTCTGACTGCTGTGGGGCGGCCTATTCAGGCTCCTGAAAGACCATTTCACTGTCACGTCGGTGCTTTTCTTTTTTATTAGTCAATAAATAACAACTACATCAACCGCTCTGACGTCTCCGTTCACCTTGCACCTCTGTAGTCACATAGAAAACAAAGTTTTCCATGTAACATTTAGGAGAAGATCAGGGTTTCTTGAACATTCCTGGCCAAAACAAAGAGGCGCATCAGAGAAGACCAACCAATTTGATCTGTTTTTAATCTATAGACTGCTTTAGTTTTTCTGATTACACTGAACCCCACCTATTAAGCATTTTCTAAACATTAAATGAGTGGTTTATAGCACACTATAATTAATGCTGTGGACTTCTGCAAGTGGAGGCTTCTGAAAATTTTTGTCTTCATGGGAGAAGTAACTTTAATACACTTAAAATGTATGTGTGTGTGTATATATATATATATATATATATATATATATAAATATAAACTATATTGGAGCGTGTTGTAAAACATGAAGTGTTTACATAGTGCATGTAAATGCTAAATAAGGGAGGTTAAAGTAAAATGTTTGGCACTTTACTGATTTACTGATTTTGCACATAGGCCAGTTTAGTCTTGTCCTGTGAAAACAGTTGTATAATATATTCTGTGGCTGGTCTGTCAGCTTTGTAAGCTTGGGCTTAGAGAGTACTCCTAATTAATACAATGTCTGCTTTACAAATAGGGGTTTTTGAAAGACAGCCATTCAAAAGCTATGTAGGGTCTAATGAAAAGACACTAAAAAAGACCGAGTTGCATTATGGGAAATGTAGGATACGATGTTTGGAGCTTGATATGTACTAGGGACCAAAAGTCAGGATACCTCGGCCTCTGCTGCACAGGATGACCATTTTCTCTTTTTTAAAAATATGACTCTCGAATAGTCCCCAGCTTTATAGAGGTGTAAAACTAAATAACTGTACCCCCTTTAGATTCTTATTTTGCATTTATGTGAATTTAACCTCTAGATTTTTCATTTTCTATCAGGGAAGATGGCAGGGAGACATTTAAAATACTGAGCCATGAAGCACATATTGAGGCTGATGTCATGTTACAATAAACCTGAGCTAATAATGTTAATATTAGCTAAATTAAATAAATATAATAAATATAATAGGAACATTCCAGATCTATGTATAAAATGTATGAAGTAAAAGGGGACACCGGGTGTGGCAATGTAGTACGGTCAAAGCTTTCTGGGAGGAAATAAAAAAACAATAGAAAAGATTTTTCTACCCCAGAGATCACAAGTTCACCAAAAGTGAACGAATAGTGTAGACATGTGTCTGTTGCATGCTATCAGTAGCATTATTTTGGAAAAAGACCAGTTTAATTTGTTTGTGAAGGGCATGGAGCTAGCAGAAGAAGAGGGGGGTTGAGTAGTGACAAATGTAAACCTTGTAACATGGTTAATGAGAGTTCAAACTATAAAACTATTGAATTTGTCATTTTTGGAATGTTTGCTGTTCCTGGTTGTCGGATTAAATTTTTGTTTCCAGCACCTGTACCTTTGTTTGGGAAATATTAATAAATATATTGTTCTAAAACAGTTTGACAACACACAGTCTAACATGTTGTAACTACATGTATGTCAACTATGTGTATAAACACTAAATACACACTAAATATAAGTAATCACAACACTGAAATATGAACTTTTACACTGTTTTCTGTTTTGTCATTTGATTTTAATGTGGTGTGGAATATTCATGTCACAATGAAAAACAATTCAATCAGTTAATAAAGACAAAAAGTTAAATAATTGTCCTATTAACATGTGTTTTTCAGTAATTATGCAGTACATGCATACATAATTTTTTTATTTCACTTTATTTCTGTGTTTGATTTGTTTCTTTAGGTATCTTCCACTGTTACGCCATCTCAGGTTGGCTTCCCAGCAGTGGTCTGTCCTCTCCTCTTCCTCTCTTATGGAGTTTTTGTCGAAGCTCTATTATTTTTACCCACACTGACTGTTGAAGGCCCTGTGACTGAATTAAATGAGTAATTCGAGATATTTACCACTCCTAGAAGTGACATTTGTGTTTTACAAATCAAGCAAGGTCACGTCCAGTTACTATCTTTATTTGGATTAAAACTCTTGTGAAACAGCTAATAAATCTTATTATCACGTGGAATGTTTTTTGATCCAGGGGGTTAGGATCTGAGGATTTTAGAAATATCTTTAAAACTGTGTTTTTAAACGACGTTCTGTTTTTTTGAAAGATCCCCAGGGATTAGCTTTCAGGAAAAAAAATGGTGCTTAGCTCTTGTTACACAAATGTATTCATAATAATAATAATTTGTACATTAGGAGAGCAGTGTCTTACCAGATCATGCAAGTAAAATCAGTTCAAATGCCTTTTCAGAGTAACTCAAACCAAATGAAAAAGTAACTCATGATATTTGTTCACTTACATGAACAGTCTTGGTTTAGAGCAGCCTCAAGTCTTTTTTGGTTTGTTTCAGTTGTTGAGAATGTTCTCAACCTGCAGGAGCATGTCAGGCTTCAACTGATCTGAGACCATGATGATCCTAAACATTGGAGATGCAAAGTTTTTACCAGACAGTGACAAAATATCACGTGTGTGATCAGGTGGTAAGGTTCATATTTGAGAAAACGTTTGATTATTTTAACATTTAAAGTAAAAACTACCAAAACATGAACTGTACAGAGATGACTGAGGTAAATAACATTGTTGGTTGGAAGATGAAGTCCAGGACAAGAAACCTGGGAGCAGAGAACAAACACATACAGCAGGGAAACGAGGTTAAAGTAAACTGTGTTCTGCTCCTGAGCCCCTTTCTACTCACGGCCAGCAGAGGGTAATAAAAGTCCTGGATTCTTTTTGCATTGCAAAAAAGGTCTGAGACTTTGACAAAGTAAAGACCTGAACACAGGAGAATAGAAAAAATAGTAAATGTAGATGCTTCCATACAGGGCAGGAAAACTTGCTGAATGGTTTGAAAATTAATTATGAAAATGATTCGAATCATATGGTCTTCACTGCCACCAGATAACAAATGAAAACCTCTGGCAGATTTTAGACAGTGCTCTACATCACCATCATCAAAACACCAATTGAGAGAACATGACCTGGAAGAATGCTGGCCATCCCTCCAGTAGAGTTCCACACACTTGGAAAATCAATTCAATTCATTTCGAATCAGCTTTATTGGCATGAATTTATAACACCAGTATTGCCAGAGCTACATATAAATTACATAAGAACAATTAATTTCATTTAATAAGTAAATAAAACAGTAAAAGTTGTGTTTGTGTGTTAATTAAAAAAAATTAAATATATATATATATATAATATAAAAATTCCATCAAAATAAATATTTAAAACTAAATAAATAAATGAAACAGTAACATGTGTGTGTTATTATAATAATATATTCAAAATTAAAACAAAAAATAGATAAAATCTATGACAAGCAGTGAAGCTGTGCTGGAGGCTTGTGGTGGAGCAACAACTTACACTGTATGTTGCGTTGTGTCAACCAAACCACCTCAAGAAGTTAGTTGATGAAGGTCTGGGGTTTATGTAATTTAAATATGGCGAGGGCTCTGGCTGCACCTGCTACACTGCTTTGACAAAGGATTGTTAACTCAGTCCACTTGGTACATTTCCTCAGGATCAGTGGACACCGTCTGCTTAGCTGTCGTGGTAACAGGGCAAACAAACCCACTGGTGAAGGTCATGAGATGTGGCTGAAAGCTCCAGAAGAAAACTAGTATGTGGGTGTTGAGTTAAGGATATTTGACCAAATTGCTGTTTTAAAAGTCAAAAAGGATTTACAAAAAGAACTTTGAGGCTTTCAAGTGTTTTTAGCCAAGGTAATTGTTTGCTAATTGGGATTTGCCACATCGGGCAGTCGATCCACGACCCAGAATAAAAAATCTCAACAGCTACTTGATGATTGCCACTAATAAAAACACATGTTTGGAGTTGTAACCCATCTTCATTGACCTGTTCTCCCAGCCCCTCCCACATCCACATGATTGACAGTTGTCAATCACAACTCCTCCCCTTCCATCTATCGTATTAAAGCCCCATTCCCCCCTTTGTGCTCTCAGTTTCCTCCACCTGATGCCCCATTTCTTACACACTGGGATGGACTGCAGTACTTATGGTAAGATAACTATTCCTGTTTTCCTCTCACTCTTCAGTCAACAACTGTTTCTGTTTCCTTGTTTGAATCTTATCATTCTGTAGTGAATGTTAAACTTGACTTGTTTATTAGAAGTGATTGCAACCCTTTAGTTTAACCACCCTATTGAGTTTTTATAGGCAGTACATGAACTGTAAACACTTCATAAAAGGTTCATGGCACACTTTAATATAGTTATAAAAGGACATTTGTAAGTGTTTATGAATGTATATGTCAACCATGGCTTCTCCTGTGAAGCATCTGGTGTATAAATTGATAATCAATGGTTTTTACATGGCTTTTATCATATTTAGTGTGTTATTAGTATTTATTAACTGTTAATAAGTAATTCACAGGCAGTTTAAAACTCTTAATGAATGTGTTTGAAACTCATCATGACATGTTGAGCTTCAAGGATCATGAATTTTAACCCACGGAGAGTGACGAAGTATTTATATACCATACATCTATATATATATTAATTGCTTGCAAAGCAATTACACTAACAAATATTTAATATTTCATATTAATGTAAAGTATGAAGACGCAGTGACAAATTTCTGTCAAATGCTACATTACTGTATATTATAAGCCTTTTATTACCTATTTGTATTCTGTGCATAAATGCTAAATAAGGGGGCTGAAATAAAGTGTTCACATGCAGGTGAGGACGTGCAGGTTTGTTTGGGAGGACATTGTAATGGGAATGTACTGTCTAACTATGCTGCCTCTACCAGGCTTCTGATACGTTTATGGTGTGAAAATGAAATGAACATCAGGGTCCTTATATTTTCTTGTTGTCCCAGAGCTGGATACCCTGGAGGTCCCTCCTCTCACCCCAACCAGTAAGGAGGTCCTGAGCCAGGCTGTGAAGGCCAGTTTTGCTGGATTTGCCCAGGAGAGACTCTACCA